CTTTTTTTTTTTGGGGGGTTGGGGGGGGGGTGGTGGTGGACGAGGGGAACCAGTCACGGGAAACTGCAGTATTAAATTATAACATCTGTATAAATATAGAATATGCAGAATTGGGTTGGTTGGCAGGAATTGGAATGCATTCTCTACTGTATGTTGAGGCATCAGAGTTGAGGTTCGTGAAAATTCCATTCAAATTTGAAGGGTTACAATACCGTAACAAGATCAAGTAAAAACCAGTATCAAATTTCATTCCAATTGCAAGGCCCTAAACCTTAAAAAATTTGGTAATGATGAGACATAATGAACCCATTAAACCACCCTTAACAAATTTAACTTTGAAGGGGTACAATACCGTAACAAGGTTAACTAAAAATCAATATCGAAAGAAATACAGCTTTGGAACAAACTAATAAATTACATATAAAAAAGCTTAATTCAAGGAACAATAAATCTTAAGCAAGACAAAAACAAATAAACTGGAAAATATGAGTAATAGAGGTTATAAAAGTTTAGTAATTGAAGAACCTGCAGAGCAAAAATGCCTTCTTTTTCTGGAATTTTGACTTGGGAGACAATATTATCGTCTAACCAGAGAATGCTGATGGGAATTCTGGCGCCCCACTTGTCCCACAACGCCGTCATTCCACATTTCACTGCGATTACACCTGTTCGACTCGAACTGGGTGTCATTACACCGGGCTCTGCTTTGATTATTCGCGAATCATTGCCCTCGTTCACTGAAGGCTCCGCAATGAGCGTCCTTAACTGGATCCTTGAGAAAACTGAAGCTGTTACAGCTGAAGGCGAATGTGAGAGACGATTAATGAGGCCTCTGGACACGGCCAACATACTTATCACGAATCGAATCAGTGAGGAATAGGAATCAGGAACACTATTTTTCTGTGTTTTTCATCATGGGGATCGAGTTTCTGCGGGTCCGTTGCTTGGAGAAGGAAATGGGTCTAGGGTTTATAGTAGGGTTTCAAAATTAAAATGTTTTTCTGAGCTCAGAAATAATTAAAAATCTACATGTACATCAATCATTGCATAAGCGATTATATTACGTCTACAAAATATTTTTAGTGAAAATTATGAAAATAGTCCATTTTTATTTGCATTTACAAAAATATCCCCTTTTTAAAATCTTTGCAAGATTGTTAATTTTGGAATTTTTTTGACATTTTTGCTCATCCAGATAATTTAAATACCTTACATGTCCTTCATTAAAAATTGATTTGCTTAGATAAAAAAATAGTACAAAAAGCTTTAAAATATTATATCATATGCTCTCACTTCACTATTTAATATATATAAGAATCCTCTCATTCCCTAAAAAGTAAAAATTTTATCATTCTCTCTCTT